AGAGGAAAAGCTCCTGGACACTGGCCTTGACACTGACTTTTTGGATATCACAATGAAAGCCCAGCCACAAAACCAAAATTAAACAGACAGGATCTCAAACTAAAAAGCTTCAACACAGCAAAGAAAACAACCAACAAAATGAAACACAAGCCTACAGACTAGGAAAAATATTTGTAAACCATGTATATGATCAAGGGTTAGTATCCTCAATTTATGAAGAATCCATACAACTTAATAGTAGAAAATCAAATAACCCGATTTAAAAAATGGACAAGACTTGAATACATATTTCTACAAGTATATAAACACGGCCAACAGCTAAATAAAAAGGTGCCCAACACCACTAATCATCAGAGAAATGAAAATCAAAACTACTATGACATGCCACTTCAAACTGATCACAATGACTATTATCATAAAGTCAAAGATAACATGTTAGCAAAGATGTGGACAAAAGGGAACACTCATATAACTCTTGGTGGGACTATATGGTCAGACATTAAGGAAAACAGAAGGGAGATTTCCAAAGAAATTAAACAGAACTATCATATTTCCCAACAATTCCTCTTCTAGGCATATCCAAAGGCAATGAAACTACCACATCATAAAGGCATCTGCACTGTCTGTGTTCACTGCAGCATCATTTACAGTAGCCAAGACAGAGGAACAACACATTTCTGCAGCAGCAATGGGTAGAGAAATGGTGGCATATATATAGAATGAAATACTGTTCAGCCCTAAAAGAGAATGAGGTCTTGCCATTTTCTACAATATGGATGAGCCTGGAAGACATTATGCTAAGTGAAAGAAGCCAGGCAGAGAAAAACGTTGTGTGATTTCATATATAGAATATAAAAAACCACACAGATGTGCTGATAGAGAGGAAAGTAGTTACTGGGGATCTGGGGAGGGGGGAGAAATAGGTCAAATGTAACAAAGTAGCAGATACATAGGATGAACAAGTCTAGAGATCTAATGTACAATATGAAGGCGAAAGTAATTAAAATTATACTGTATTTTGGATTCAGGCTAAATGAGAAGACCTTTATTGTTTTTGCCATAAAAACAAAAAAATGGTTAACTGTGTGAGATGGTGGATATTAACTTCACTATAGTAAGGTTTTAATTATCTACATAAATTCCATAACCTCATGTGATATAGCTTAAATATATACAATAAATTTTAAAAATAAATAAATTTATCTTCCCTATATTTGGCACTTGGAAAATTTCAAGGTAATTTAATTACCACATTTTATGATTCTAAGACACAGTTTTTCTTATTTTAATATTACCAACTTCATGTTAAAAAACAATTATAATGTATAATTATGATTTGCATTGTTTTCCTTCTTTCTTAGTAGAACATAAACACTGCTGTCTTATACTCAGTGGTGTCTTAGATTGATGAAATATGGTATTTTATAGCCATTCTCCTTTATATGTGCTCGTAACACATTTAGGCTACCCTAACCTGAAACTTTAATCCATTGAAAAATTCCACCCATCATTTTCTTCTTAAAAAAAATCTCTTAGCACTTCATATTCTGATCCAAATACTTTTTCCTTTCGAAGCTTTTTTTTTTTTTGCAGTATTAGGAAATTAACCCAGAGCCTTGCACATTCTAGGCACAACTCTACCTCTAGCTACAACCCAGCTCTTTTTACTTGACTTTCAGTCAGGGACTTACTAAGTTGCCCAGTCTGGCCTCAAACTTTCCTGCCTCATCCTTCTGAGTAGTTGGGATTACTGACGTTTTTTTTTTTCAACCTATTTTCAAACAATTTCACGTTTTAACTGACTTTGTAATTTCTATCGTGGTGATCTAATTAATTAATACAAGGAAAAAGCACCACTGCCATTTCCTTGGAGTAACAGAGTGAAACTAACTCTGAAAACTAAGACAGCACCTCCCAGAAGCCGCTGGTTTTCATGGAATTGATCATCAGTAAGACTATACTGAAAATTCACAAATAATACTCAACACTGGCCTCTTGGGTAGTGCCAAAAATATACCTCTCGCCAGCCTGTTTTTGGTAAGGTCTCAAGACCTTCCTTTTCCCATTGTATAGCTGCTTAAGTGAAATCATTTCTTAGATGATAAGCTCATTTCTCTTAATTTACTTCAAGAACTGCTCCAGGTATGAAGGCTTTATTATTTTGGGGAACTCTTTCTTTTGGAGGGCTATTGCAGTTGCTCAACAGTACTCCTCTGGAGAAGCAGAAATGAAATCAAGGAAGCTCCCTGGACTCTGCCTGCAGCATGTACTCTCACTTCACTCCCAACCGATTCCCTCTGCTAACCACTGAGTGCTGCCTTCTTTTATATACATCCATCCAGTCTGGTTAGAAAAAAGTTGATTGCCCTATAGGTAGATTTTTTTTTTTTTTTATTGGTTGTTCACAACATTACAAAGCTCTTGACATATCATATTTCATACATTAGATTGAAGTGGGTTATGAACTCCCAATTTTACCCCAAATGCAGATTGCAGAATCACGTCGGTTATACATCCACAATTTTACATAATGCCCTATTAGTAATTGTTRTATTCTGYTACCTTTCCTATCCCCTACTATCCCCCCTCCCCTCCCCTCCCATCTTCTCTCTCTACCCCATCTACTGTAATTCATTTCTCTCCTTGTTTATTTTCCCATTCCCCTCACAACCTCTTATATGTAATTTTGTATAGCAATGAGGGTCTCCCTTCATTTCCATGCAATTTCCCTTTTCTCTCCCTTTCCCTCCCATCTCATGTCTCTGTTTAATGTTGATCTTTTCTTCCTGCTCTTCCTCCCTGCTCTGTTCATAGTTGCTCTCACTATATCAAAGAAGACATTTGGTATTTGTTTTTAGGGATTGGCTAGCTTCACTAAGCATAATCTGCTCTAGTGCCATCCATTTCCCTGCAAATTCCATGATTTTGTCATTTTTTAGTGCTGCGTAATATGCCATGGTGTAGAAATGCCACATTTTTTTTATCCATTCATCTATTGAAGGGCATCTGGGTGGGTTCCACAGTCTAGCTATTGTGAATTGTGCTGCTATGAACTTCGATGTGGCAGTATCCCTGTAGCATGCTCTTTTAAGGTCTTCAGGGAATAGTCCGAGAAGGGCAACCTATAGGTAGATTCTTGAGGAAAGTTACAAGTCCATCCATGGAAACGTAGTGGCCTCTAGGACAATAGGGGCCTACTATGTCCACTGGGAAGCAGGGACACTGCCTAGGGAAAACCCCTCCAAGTTATATAGGGGTGTTACTGCTTGACAAAATACTCTTAGCATGTGCAAAACCAGCCTCTTACTGCACTTTTCTTCAAATGGGTCCCTAAAAATAATAGATTTTTTCCCCCCTAAAAATGCAGAGCCAATAGAGAGAAGAGTTCTTCAGAAGCTGGGCTCCATTGCTTGTGGTTCTGAATGGCTGGTGTCAGTTTCTACAGCAGGATGATCCCCAGGATGCTATTTTTCTCCTCCAATGAAAGAGGAGTGGGAGTAGATCTGAAAATATCCTACTGAGGTAAACCCTTAGTGAGTGGACCACAATTCCCAGGACTTAGAGTTGTAGAATCCCCAGTGTGTTAGCTGCAACCCTATCTCCCTGATTTGGGGAAATGAGCAGTGCTCTGGTTCTGGTTCTACCCAGCGATCTCCTGCAGCCAGTACCTTCCTGACTTGGGAAAATGGCACCTCTCTGCATCTAATCCACAGCTCAAATGCAAAAAAAAAATGAATTAACTTCACTACAGCTTCTCCTCCCCAAGACTACTTCACTTAATCTAACTCCAAAATGTTCTGAACAAAATCTCAGCTCTATTTGGGAAATTCTTTTAAATGAAAAGAGTGGAAAGATGAATTTCTAATTTAGCAGTTCTAAACATTCATTTCTGTTTTTGCCTTCTAGATGTTCTAATAAACAAGTGTGAACTTTATTAATGTCTTTTATTTCTAGATCAGATACCAAATAGGTGATACAAAAATACCAGGTTAAGTGAACATAACTTATGTTTACATGCATGTGTCAGCCTTCAAATTTTAAAAATTTATTACATATGCTTTATTTGACCATAATAAAATAGTATAGTAGTTCATGTATGTAATTAGCCAGACTGCGTAGATTGGTTAAGTACATACTCCAAAATTTACCATCCATGGGCTGCATGATTAAAAGTTTGAAGAGACTGTTCTATTGATGATCTTAATGTCTTTTCTAAGTCCCAGGCACACAGTAGAATTCAAAGATCAATGTAAAATCAGCGCTTTTCCAAAAATTGAAAACAACTTAGCAACTTGGAAAAGGTCTCTGCATACAGACGATTCTACTACTCTGAAAATCTAGTCTTTTTTTAAAGAGACAGTAGATGCCTAGTGTTTAACCAAGACACAAATAGTTTAGGGCCAGCTTAATTACTGCTCTATCTTTGGCCTATTAGTTTACTGTTTCTTATTAACTTTAAGGGGGAGTCTGTATTCTAAAAGAGACTATGCCTGCTGAAACTTAATAAGAAAAGCAAGGGAAATTAATGGCACAGAAGAGATTTGTTCAGTACTACTCCAGTCCACCTCTGAACGGATATTTTCACTGTAATTTCTAGCAATGGCAAAGCCTTTAAAACCACAGCAACAGGACCACTTTTTTGAAAGGAACTCAGGCTCACAGCACTTGACCTACTTTAATGTCAAGGAATCACATCTAGGAATTATTTTAAGACTGATAAAGATGCCTTTCATGAGGAATATGGTCTTTAAGTCTATACCCCAAAGCACTGTAGCTGAAACAAAGACAAAATAGTATAGTGACTCATCCCCAAACTTCTTTGGCACTGGGTAGGCTAAAGACCTCTTTATCATGCCTATTTTCCCAATTCTTCTTTTGCTGGCCAAAAATAATTTTAAAATTAAAAAAATTACACATATACACATTATGCATACAAAGAGTGGTAAATAATGGAAAGGAGTAAGATTTGCAGTTGTCCTGCAAGTAATGTGGAAGCATACCTGGGATGCTTTCTAATTTCCTTCTGAGCTCTTCATTTTCTTGTTGCAGTGAAATAACCTCCTGCTCTAGCTCTTGGCATCGGGGACAGTAGCCTTCTTCTTCCTCCTCCTCTTCCTCCTCCGGGAGTGTAGAAGATGATGGGTGACCATGGGACTCAGAGGTTGCTGGGGAGGTCCAGCCACCTAGTGTATGCACGGGAGAGGTGGAGAGAGGATCCACATCGGCCAGGTGGCCATACTCACTAATAGTTGAGGTGTTTGGAGTTGGAAAGCTCCCCGAGAGCAGGTAATTTTGGAGGGAGTCAGTGAAAACTCTTAAAAAGGCAGAAGTTTGTTGTTTCCTTTGCATATATTGCATCTCTATGTCTACATTGTCTGAAGTCTGACTGTGGACCCCTTTCCCAATGTGACACTGTTCCTGTCTTTCATTATAACTAGAGCCTTCCTGCTTTACGCAAGAAATCATGGATTGAGAATGGTTTGAGTCCAGAAGTTTTCCTCCACAATTTAAGAGGCTAAGAACTCGACTGCACTGCTGGGCAAAGGCATCCAAAATCATACGACTCTCTGAAATGAAACAAAAAGACATGTCAGTGACCAACAGCTTAAGACAACAAATAGACAAAAGTCCTCAACTTTAACACTTAAGCCCATTAAAATATGTATTTTTACTCTGCCATAAACCAGATGACACAGAGAATCCACTGTTAACAGGACAAATTCCTATTGTTCTATGATTGGCAGGTTCCTGATGAGTCACCTCCAGTCTCTTACTCTAAGCAATGGCTGGCCTATGATTCTGGGCACCGTACAGAGATTTATCTCTCTCACATTAACTGGCCTGCACAGGTCTGCACTCACACCTTCAGCTTCATTAATATCCTTACTCTAATGAATGGAGCTGGCCACTGCAGACTCAATTCCTCATTGATAGGAGGGCTTAGAGCAATCATTACTTCTATTTCTGGAGTGCCCTTATGCCCTTGCTATTAATCAGCTGATACAATCCCTGCCGAGAGTATGTAGCTCCCAGATGCAAACTGGAGAAGAAAGATAAGTCTTTTTGAAGAGCTCACTAGAAATCTAAGATAAAACAAAGAGTGGGTCTATAGGCAAAGAATGAGCACAAAACAAAACCACATGTGTCATTCAACTTCTCTATTTAGTATTCCTTCTCTAAATTTACCTGCTAATTTGGATTTCTTGTCAAGGCCAATGTTTAGGCTGACCAAGATCCATATATCTGAAAACCAAGAGTGCCTCTTCTCAGAGCCATTTTCATTTGATTGTCACATCTCCCCAAATGGCATAAGGCGTGGGTGCTAGGTAGCCCACATACATGAATTCTAAAGCATATTAACTGTCAAGCAGTGAAAAGCAAAAAGTAAACTGAAACCAATCAACTCCCTACAAAACACAGGAAAAACTCCCCAAATCATGATAGTGTTATTTAACATCAGCCTAAGGTTCTTGAGTATTCACCCTATTGGAAAATGTCATTGGAAAGGTTCTCTTCCCATTACTACCTAGACAAGTGATTATAAACACAGACAGGGACACTTTCCAGAGTTTATACAGTGGTATGAGGATGCTTCAGCTTCTCCTTACCCAGAAAAATGGCAACAAGGAAAGCACTAGAGAATTTAGCTGCCAGTAATACTTGTTTGTAAAACAGCCACTTGCTGCTTCTGAGAATGGTGACTATTCCTTTTTCTTTCCCAGGATAGGGGACCTTCAAAATTAAAAATATTGAGATACTTGTGTGCTTCTACAGGCAACAAGACAGAAGAGTTGCAGTAAGAAAACCTCTAGAAAACCCAGGATATGTGACCAATGAAATTGCATTTCAAGAGACCCCTGTGCAGTGCCTCCTCCCGGGTTTTTTTCCTTAGCATTCTTTTGTGAAGTAACTATGATATTGGGGAGACAGAGGAGTCCAAGTAACCTGGTTCTAACTATTTAATAAGAATGTGTATAAAAATCCCACAACATGGTTGACTGGCACACAGGAAGCATCCCTCATGTACCCCACATCTATACAATGCTACCATTCCAGAATCCTTTAGAAAAATACCAAGTCAGAAATCAGAGCCCAGATCTTTTCTGTTCAGGAAGCAATTACAGGCTGTACTGGGGTGGGAGGATCAACTCAATGTCTCAAGAAATACTGAGGTAGGACTCTTGTAAACATGTAGAGGACCTCAGTTTATAGCATTCTCAGATTTACTTGGCTGAGGTGGGGGTTGCAAGACCACCTTTGGCAGCCCACAGGGCTGTTTACTTCTTGGGACAGCACTTCCTTACTCTTAGGAACAGTACTATGAATCTCTGCCCTGACCCTCCTCCTCCAGCCAGTCTTCTCCCTGTTGTAAGGTACAAGATTAAGAATTCCCTACTCTAACTGCTTGGGGAGCCTGTGCCCTCAGCCATCTACCTACAGAGGGATAGCAGCTAGAGCTTGGAAGCATGAACTGTGTGTATATGATGTACTTCTGAGTGCAAGATGAAGCTGGGAGTCAGAAGAGGTGGTCATGGTTGGCTAAAAATCCCAAAATCAAACCTGGTCATTATAAAGGTGTTATTTGTCAAGACAGGTGAAGAGAATGTATTTTACTTAACATCTGATTCAAGATTTTTAATTATTCAATACATGATATAAGGCCTGCTTTTTGGTCCTGAGTCACACAAATACTTTGATGCCATTTCATTACAATGACCTAAACAAACAAACAAAAAAAGAAAACCACCAAAAACATGAAAGTAAACAGCCGAACCATACAAGTGGGGAGGTTTAAGATGTTTTATTCTCATTTTTTCACTTCCTAGTTTTTATTCTTTTATTAGTAAAATCAAAGGATGATATTGATTGGGAATGTTCAATTCTAGCACAAGAGCAGTTTTCATTCATTTTAATCCTATAATCCCATTCTAGACTTGAAGTTGTATTTACTGTTTGCATTTTAATCAGCATAGTCCCAATTGATTTACAGCCTATACACCTTTAACATAACCTTGATGAAAGGGACAAATACGCAAGGAAAGGCTAAAATAGAACTGCCTAGAAAGAGCTGCTCGATTATATTTGTTCAGTGTCCTAGAGAACACTCAGTAGTTTTAATCATATTGATGAATCACATTACAGCATAGATTTTAAGGGGAAAAAATCTGACTTAGGGACAAGCGTGATTTGTTTTCTTAATTGAAGGATAAACTCATAACATGCTGAGAAAAAATCATTATGTAATATACTACATTATGAAGATAATCTATTAAAGTGCACTCAGAATATCAGAGAATAGCTACAATCATAAAATAGTTCTTGCCTGCAGTTCTTAAAATGCTTCATTCTGAATTTGTTCTTAGAATTGAAATATACAAAAATAGCAATCATACACCCTTAAAGTTGAATTTTTTCCCTCTTTAGTACCTTGAAATATTTGAATACTATTTTCTATTTTAACATTGATACATGAAAGCCATGATGAAATATATTGCATTACACTTGGTGAGGGAAAATAGCAACTCTTTCCACTTAATACATATTGCAGTCAGCAATATTTTAGCTTTCTAGACAGAATATAATTAGAAATCCAAGTACTAGGCATAGCACATTATCACTAAGAAATGGAGAAAAGTTTTGTTTTCATTTGAACACAAATGAATGGCTACTGATCCATGATTCTTAATTGAGTAAAGTGTTAACATGTGTTTTAACTTTTTTTCCCCCTAGTCATGGAATGCTCCACACACAGGGATAGCAGTGAAGTACAAATTCAACAGTTTATAAGGAGGCTTTAAAATTGTCTATTTTATCCCCAACTTCCCTAAATAAAGCAGCATGAAATGTTAATAAATCACAATCACAAAGCACTGTAAAATGACCACTTCTAATTTATTTTGCAGCCTGTTGGGAGATAATATCATGCTGCAAATTATGCCTAGTCTGATTCCAAAATCTAAACCCCTGATTATTTTTTTAATTAAAAAATTCATTTCTTGAAATTCTTCTGCATTTAGGTGGTTTAATCCATCCTAAATCTGATAAATGACTAAGAAGAGGGATGGGAAGTAGGCAATCAAACAGTCTCCCTACTTTACTAATGTCCTTCTTTGTAAGGAAAGCCTTGAATGGAATGTGCCCATCACGGCAGGTTCCCAAGAGAATTCTGTTTCTATGAAGGAGATCACAGTACTCAAGATTAGTGGTAACCTTTTGATTTTAGCCCAGCGAAGGGTGAAATATATTAATATTAAAATGCAGAAGCAGAATTTTTTGTGACCTACTACCATGTATCCACATATTATAACTACCAAAAGGATTTCTAATAGTTGATTTCCATAAAACGTTAATTTAACTTCTTTTTAAGAGAGGACATCATGGCATAGAAAATAGCAGAAATGAAAGCTTTGGAAGCATCATCCTTGTCTTAAATCAATGAATGATGTCTTTTAAAAAAATGCCATCCAATTTTTTTTCATAATGGCAAACATCAACACAGCAAAACAGGATGCAATTTTTCTAAATAAATAAATCAATGATGTGTCAAAAATTAACAGATGAGTTAATATACCCGGTGCTATCAAAACCAGATGGTGCTTCCTAATATTCATCCTGCTCAGTCAATCCCTGAATATTTTCTGGACCATCGGTATATAAAATAGGATGCTGCTATTTGTGATGGCAAACAAAAGCAATCATGCCTGCCAAGCACATACTATAACAGGCAGCATTTCAGCTCTGCTAGACAGAAAGTAATTAGAATGCTTTTAATGTCCAAAAGAATGATGCTGATAGGCTGCCACAGATGTGTAGATTTATGAATATTTATATGGTGGTTTATAGCTGACACTTTTATCAGTTGAAGAAGATAAAATATCTGCCTGACTCAAAAGCTTGACAGTCAGGTTAATAAAATCTCATTAAAGAGAATGACCTATGCAATTATATAGGATTTATTGTAATTCATTTTTGATTGTACTCTGCTTAAAGATGCAATTTCCCATTTCCTGATGCCAAATTTAGGCTGCATATCAAGATCTACGTGGATTTTAACTCTAAGCCTCCCACAGAGGAAAAATGTGCTTTTAAAACCATAGTGTAATACCCCTTTTAAGGAAAATTATACTCTTCACATGATTTTATAAGAATATTGAAAAATTCTATTTTTAATCACATATTTTTCTTTTTAATGACTTGTGGCTCTTAATGGGAAATAAGATTCACTTCAACCCTTTCATCTTTTCACTGCATTTGCCCTGGATGGTCCGTTGTGCCTCTTTTCTACTAGACTCGCTTCATCCAGTTGATGTTTTGACAATTTTCAGTTTGCTAGGTGGCCTAAGACACTGCAAATACACTTTAGTGAGGGTGCAACAGGCAAAGCACCACCCCCACCCCATGTATTTAAATGGCTGTGGCGTGCATATGAGCTCATTGGTTCAAAGTGGAACCATTAGTTCCTCAAAGAACCAATCAGCTCTTCTGCTGGCTGTCCCTCTGATGGTCACTTGCATCACTGTGCTGTTGAGAGATGGCTTTGTCCATCAATGATTAATACTATGACCACAATCCATGGTGTCTAGTCCAATGGCTTTTTTTTCCCTTTTGCACTCAGACCATCTCCATACTGCACAGAAAAAAATCTACCATCCACTTCCTATCCTTCTAACAAGCACTAGGCATCTAGTCCTCATGGTATCAACCTTACCTCTCTGTTTAAAAACTTGTTCTTGTTTTTCTTCCTTTCTTTTTTTTTAATAGCCTTGTGAATAAAAGGTAGTATGGGAAGATATATAGATAGATAGATAGATAGATAAAAATATAGATATATATAAATAACCTCTCACACCTTTAGATTCAGTGATGTTGATTTCTATCTGGAGACAGAGACAATAAACTAAATGGACACTAGAAGAAACACTGAAAGCAAACACTTTAGACAAGATGAGAAGGTGGGAACTACAAAAAACAACAACAACAACAACAAACAAACATACAAAAAAACCTCCCGAAACCCTCACATGAAGAAAAGAAAGCAAGAGAAACTTCCAGAGCAGGGAGGTTTCATGGAAAGGACCACAAGTGACTGCTGAATGGAAAAAAAAAAAAAAAAAAGAAGAAGAAGAAGAAAAAACAATACAGGAACAGTGGCAGGAAAAAACAAATTTACACAATGGATGAAAATAGGAATGAGAAGGTGTAGATTTATAGTGTATTAAGGGAATTAAAAGATTGGAAGATAGCAAAGCCTGAAAGGAGAAAGCAAGGGAAGATAAAAGACTGAACCAGGCAGATAAAAGAGGGGGAAACCTCAGTGGACACGGTGAAACCAAGGTTATGCAAAGGAGTATGCAAAATATAGAAAATGGGGAAAGGACCCAAATTGCTGGAAAACATAAAGTAAAAAGAATGCTGAGCTGGAGTATAAATGAGGACACCAACAAGAGGTAGAATTTAAGACTCAGACTCCAAACTCTGAAAAAAGAATATTAACCTTAATAAGGGAGAAAACATAAGAGAAATGGGGAAAAAGGACGCCCACAAGCAGCCTAAGGATGAATTGTAATACCACAATAGAATACTGGGCCAACAGCAACTAAAATCAAAAACAAAAAACCTCACAAACAACAAGGAAGCCCACATAAGAACCCCACTCAACGCCGTCAAACATCTCCACATCAGTGAGGGTTGTGACAGAACTAGTCTTCACGGTAACCTATAATTAGATTTTCTTTTTCAAAACCAATCCTTCATGTGTCAAAATATTGACAAACAGCAGAACACTTAGCACAGGCATCTATAACTCATTTAGAGACAATACTCTTCTATTTTCATTTAGGAAAAAAAAAAGACAAATTCACTGAAATATAGAATGGGAGGAGGGGTTCTAAAGTGCCATAAAAGGCCTGAGCAGGAACTTTTAAGTTCTCACGAGTCCATAAACGTGGCTGCGTCTTCAGGGAGCACAGAGCACCCTTGGGTGCAGGCCCAGGCCGTGGCCTCCCAACAGCGCCTGTCCCTCCCAACAGCGGGGCAGCACCCGCTAGCTCTGGGTGTGGGGTGTAGACTCCGGATTAAAGAGAGGAGATTCGGGCTCTAGGAGGGGTGCAGAGGAATTTCTGCAGGGCTGGAGCCGAGGTGCTCCAGAGGAAATCAGCGCTGACAGTCTCATGGTGGGGGAGGGGGGATAACGAGTGACAAGGTAGGGAACAACGACGTGAGCAGCCTGGACCCGCATGCCCGGAGCTGGGGAGAACAGCGAGAACACCCCCCGGGCGCCCAAACACCTGAATCCACTGGAAGGTCGAACTCCAGGACCACCGCGAGGCTGGAGCGGAGGATCAGGTGTCTCACAGCCACGGCTGGGACGATGGGGTGGACAGGGAAGGGCCCGCAGAGACAGCGCGCGCAGAAGCACGAGCGCACAGGAAAAAAAAATAAAAAAGAAAGAAAGAAGAAGAAAAAAAGAAACACCGAGCACAAGAAATAGCCGAAGGGGACAGCGACAGGGGCAGACTGCACCAAACAGAGGGAGAAAAGGCGAGAGAAAAAAAAAAAAAACAGAAGGAAAAACAAATGGAGGCGGGAGGGAGTGAAAAGGGAAGAAGTGGAAGGATAAAGTGAAGAAGCGGAGGGTAAAGAAAGGGAGCCTCAGCGGAGCCACCCGAGCAGCCCCAGGCTGTCCCCAAGCAGTTGCTCCTGTTACCCTAGGACATCTGGCTCCCACCCCCGTCCCCGACCGAGCAACGGAGCCGCCAAGCCACCTGTTAAGAGCGCGCGCCGTCGTAAACCCGGGACGCGGCGGCGCCGGGGAATCTTCCAGAAGTTGCTGCCCAAGAGTGGGGCGCATGGGAGGCCTCCAGGGAGCGTTCGGACGCTCCCCGGTCTCCTCAGTCACACACACTGGGGCGCGCGGGAGAGTGTCGGCGGTCCCCAGCTTCTCCTGCCCGGGTCCCTCCCCTCCCACGACCGTGGCGGGAAGGAAAGTTGCGCCCAAGAGTTGGTACCTGCGCTGAGCTCCAGGCTGGCGCCGTCGCTACCCGCGCTGCTGCTGCCCGCGGCCGCTGCCGGGCCGGGGCCGTACCTGACGACGGCGGCGAAGGACGACGACGACGAGGCGGCGGGGGCCGCGGGCGGGGCCGGAGTCCTCAGGTGGCCCTGGGACGCGGCGGGCGTGCAGGACGGCGACGACGACGAGGCGGCGGCGGCGGCGGCCCGGCCGGGCCCGGGGGGGTAGGAACTCTGCGCCTGGAACTGCTGCGGCGGCGGCGGCGGCGGCTCGCTGCTGCTGATGGAGACGGCGGCGTGCGGCGCGAAGGGCGGCGGGGGCGGCGGGGGCGGCCGCACGTGCGGCAGCTCCACCAGGGTGGGTCTGTCGTAGCGCTTGGCCAGCGCCGGTCTCTTGCTGGGGAACGTCTTGAGGACGCTGTAGGGGCTGCGCTGCTTGTAGATTTTGGGGACGCTGGGCCCCTCCTCCGCCGGCTGCATCTCCTCCTCCATTCCGCGCCTCAGGGCCGGTCTCCCGTCGCACGTCCCCTCCCTGCCCCGCGCCGGGCTCCGAGGGTGCCTCCGCCGCCAGCCAGCCGGCTCTGCCCCTGTGCGCGCGTGTGGGAGGGTGTGTGTCTGTGCCGTGGCCGCCGCCGCCGCCGCCGCCGCCTGTCGCTGAGGCTGGCATCTCCGAGCCCCCGCGCGGGGGGCTGCCGCCCGAGCGCTGATTGACAGGCCGCCTCGCCAATGCCTGGAGGGAGAAAGGAGGTGAAGAGCAAGTGTTTAGGGTAATATCTGCTAATGATAATGGGGGCGGGGGCGGGGCCTGGCGCCGCCGCCGCCGCCGCGGGTCTGCCCGCGCGGTCGGCGCCTAAGACCAGGGAAAGGGGGGAGGGGGAAGGGAAGGGGGGAGCGGAGACCTGGGGAGTGTCCCGGTCGCAGGTGAAAAAGGTGGGGACCCGGGTCCTGGCCAGGGTGAGACTTTGGAGCTCCAGATGTGGACCCGAGGCGTCTGCTGCTGCCGGCCCGGGTCTCGCTTCCGTAATGAGCTCCTGGCGCCCCCCTGCGTGACCTCCAACTCTCGGAGTTGCACTGAGGGGGTGGTACCTAGTAGTTAGGGCGGGGTCGCCAGAGTGCGTGTGTAGAGTACACGGAGTGCCTACGAACTGAAATTCCTCCCCCAACCTTTCGAAAAGAACATCTTGATAGTCTTGGCTCAGGTCGCGGTTTGTGCGGCCACAGGGTCCTGCTTGCACCAGGCTGTTGGCTTCTGAACTTCAGTTGATCATAGAAGTCCACAGGGCGAGGTGCTTTCACATTATTTCATTTGTACCCTGTGGAGCCCACGAAGAGTGCCTAAAGCCACAATTTACTCCCATTCTACAGATGAGAATACTGAGGTTGAAAGGAACACCCTGGTCAGAAACTTCAACTCAGGAGTGTGTGACTTAGTTGCAGGGATATATACAAGTCATTTTAAATCCAGCTCTTAACTATTACAGCAAGTAAATTGTGCAGTTAAAAGGGCGGGGGAGTGGCTGACAATTCCTTTTGGGTCCATGAGTATTTTTAACAACGTTGTATGTACATATCTGTGTGTATACATATATATTTTATTTATATTTATATTTGCAGGACCAAGGTGGCCTGAGGAATCTCACTCCCAGAATTGTCCAGTTACTTGACTGGTCACAGCAACTGGTGCCATAGGGCCAGGGTTCTGGAGATCACCCAATTTCAGTAGTTGTTAGAATGACAGGAGATCTCAATAATTTGAAGAAGAATCCCCATGGACAACAGATGTCTTAAATATTGAGAAGGGACTTGGTTTCTCCAAGGCACTCTTTGGAGCAGACTACATTCCTATCTCAGTTCATCCTTTTTTTCCTGGACAGTATCAGAACCCCCGCCCCAAGGGTGGTTTCCAGCCTTTAGTCTTCATTATCCTGGGCAGAGTTCCTCATGCACCTTAATGTATGACCCCCATCTCTTCACTCTGAAGTTAGTTTCCTTTTCAGAGCTGTCTTTATAATCTTGGGGAAGTGACCCATTTTCTTCTTCTGGGGTCCAGTAGTTAGGGCGGGGACCCCTAACTATTTTGGCTTCCTATTTTCCAGAACTGCCTTCCTTTGGAAGCCTCTCTCCTCTTTGCCAGTTCAGTTTTTTTATTCCTCCACCCTAGAGTGTTTCCTTCTCTGCTGCAGGCTCCTCAGATGGTGCTGCCCCCCCATTTATTAGAGATGAAATAAATAATGCCATAAATAAAAGTATTTGGGAGTCCAGGAACTGTCAGGGCTGATTAGGGCATAGAGGACATTTTCTTTCTCATTATGCAAAAGCATTTCATGGGGAAATAAAAGAGGTTTCATTGTAACTCATGCATGTCATATTTCAAGGAATTCAAGATATTAATCATATTTAACATTATTTGCAACGTTTCTCCCTAGCTTCTGAAAACTGCTAAATGAGGACACGTGGATCACTAGGAAAAAGGGAGATGAGCATAAGAGGGACAGTTAAGAAATAATGAAATGCTGTTGAAAGACAGAGAGAGAGAATGAGATGCCAGAGAGATGTTTCTTAGGTACATAAGTGAGAAATGGGGAGCTGTTTCTGAGACATGAGACAGCTGAAATTGAATGATATACTGGAGGAAATAAATGATAACAAGCCTCCCCATACTTGCCTTTCTATACAGCAGTTCTGAATTTTACATTGAAATGTCTCCCTCCCTCTTTACTCCCAGATAATTTGCTGGTAAGTCCTGACTTTTTAAAAGAAATTGAGGTGAGGAGGTGAGGAGGGGAGAAATTCTTCAGTATTTCTACTGAAGAAATGATTTTCTATACCTGGGGTCTTTCTCTTCTTCTTAGGTATTTTTATTTAATGCCTTCCTCACCATTTAGATAAGACAGTTGGGAATACTGTTGTTATATTTTACCAACCAAAGGAACCATCCATCCTTGACATCAGAAAGTGGTCATTTCATTAGGTTTATAATCCCAGTGACTCAGGAGGCTAAAGAAGGAGGATCACTAGTTCAAGGCCAGCTTCAGCAACTTAGAAAGACCCTGTCTCAAAAATAAATAGTAAAGGGGAGGGAGTGGGGTTGTGGCTCAGTGGGAGAGCACTTGCCTAGCACCCGCGAGGCACTGGGTTCCATCCTCAGCACCACATAAAAATAAAGTAAAGGTATTCGGTCCACCTACAACTAAAAAATAAATATTATAAATATATTAAAGGGTCTGGGAATGCAGCTTAGTGGTAGAGTGTCCTTGGGTTCAACCTCTAGTACTATGGGGCGGAAAAAGTAGTCAATTCTATAAAACTAAATGCTCAAATTTAGTGGTTGTTCTGGTTTGGGTGCCTCCCCAAAAGCGTGTGTTGAAAACTTAATCCTTAATGCAACAGTGTTGAAAAGCAGGGGGGGGGAGGGGGGCACATATAGGTAGGTGGTGAGGGCTCCACTCTTATGAATGAGTTAAGGCCAATTATAAAAGAACTTGAGGCTGTGAGTTTGATCTCTCATTTTTGCTAGCCAGGCGATGCCTTCCGCCATGTTTTTAATGCAGTAAGAAGGTGCTAACCAGATGTGGCCCATCAATCTTGGTTTCTCAGCCTCTAGAACTGTATGAAATAAATATCATTTCTTTATAAATTGTCCAATCTGTGGTATTCTTTTATAGCAGCACAAAACAGACTAAGACAAAAAAAAATAAATAATGAGAGGTGGGACTGTTACTATAACAATTACCTGAAAGTGTGGAAATTGCTTTGGAACTGGGTAATTGGCATTGGCTGGAAGAATTTGGAAGAAAAGACTAGAAAGAGCCAAGGTTGCTATGAATCAAGTATTAAGGATGATTCCAGTGAGCTCAGAAGAAAAGACTTATAGGGAAAGTATAGAACTTCTTTTTTTTTAAATCTTTTTTTAATATTTATTTTTTAGCTTTAGGTAGACACAATATCTTTATTTTTTTTATTTTTATGTGGTGTTGAGGATTGAACCCAGCGCCCCGAGCATGCCAGAGGAGCGTGCTACCGCTTGAGCCACATCCCTAACCCGTAGAACTTCTTAGAGATAACTTTAAGTAGTTTTGATGAAAATGCTGGTAGAAATGTGGATGGTAAAGGTCATTCTGATGAGGTCTCAGAGGGAAGCAAGGAGCACGGTGTTAGAAACTGGTGTAAAGGCTATTCCTGTTATGCTGGCGCAGAGAATTCAGTGGAATTGTGTCCTCAGGGGTTGTGGAATGCATAGTTGAAAAGCAGTGAGCTAGGATATCTGACAGAAGAATTAGCTAAACAGCAAAGCATTCAAGGTGCTGCATGGCTTCTTGTGGCAGCTTGCAGTAAACCGAAAGGAGAGAAATGATTTAAAGACAGAATTTGTAATTAAAAAAGCAGAGCAGAAACTTTTGGAAATGTACAGTCTGTCCCTGTATAGAATGAAAAGGCATATACAGGAGAAAATACTAAGGTTGTGGCCGAATGACCCTTTGCTAAAGAGATTAATATGAATCTGAAGGCAGCCAGGTTCTATTGATCAAGATACTGGGGCAATGACCCTGAAGGCATTTCAGAGATCTTGGAGGCTAGCTGGGACTTTGAAGGCAAGTTTTCCAGAGGGGTGTCTGTATGACCTCAGCTATCCAGAGCCATCCATGTTGGGCCACTGTTTCCACATCCCGGTGAAGCATACCTCAGCCACCCCAGGCATGGCTCCGGTGGGTCCAGGTGCAGCTCATGGAGGGCACAGCAGTAGGCTTCAGGGGCATCCATATTGTGCTGGCTCTGCAGATACGCAGAGAACACAGCCATGTGGCCATCATGGCTTCTCCCGGGATTTCAAAAGACATATTAGGCAGCCTGGGGGCCCAGACAGAGACTTGTCAGAGGGCCCGAGCCACCAGAGAGCCCCTACTAGGGCAATGCCTAGTGGAGCCATGGGAACAGGCCTCCTCAGAGACCCCCAGAACTGGAAAGCTTTCAGATCCTTCTGTGGACAGTTACCTGTCTGGGTCCATAGAAAAATGAAGCAGAGAGTAATCACTCTTTAGAAAATAAAGTGGGATTTATTCCAAATGTGGAATTGTACCCAATTTGAAATTGTAACTGACCACTCCTTCCTGCCTGAGATTGGACATAACTGAGTATATAAAAATGTGTGGGGCTGAAGTTCTCTGAAGAAGCCACATCTATATTAAAGATCCTGCAGACCATTTGATCTTGACTTAGTAGAACATCATGATTATGGAGAGATGGAATGTTGCAGGTCAAGAGCCAAAATTATCTTGGGCTGTCTTAGTCTTCTTAATGTCCATTTGTCTGACCTGTGGTACCAGGTAAAACTCTATGAAAGTGTCCCTAAGCTTAGTAGAACCCTGCTGTCCACCAACCCTAAGATAAGTTGTAACATCCAAAAACTATAGAAGAGCTTTCCCTGCTTTGCTGTAGCCTGCCTGCCTGACACCCCCATAAATGCATTTGGTAAACACATTTTTGCACCATGG